GGCCCCAAACCCTCTCTCTATAAAAAAGCCCAAAAACCTTAAAAAAATAAAAAAAAGTATCAAGCTCGAATTGGTACTAAAAATGACTTAAACTGAGTCAATGGCCTAAATCTCAGTAATAAATAACCGTTTAACTAAAAGTTGGTAAAAAAATGTGAAACCCCCCAAATTAAGGAACCGCTAGAAATCTGATATAAAATAGTGATTCAGTATAAACTAAGAGGACCAACACAGCTAGCCCTCCGAGCCAAGATTTTATTTTCAAATATTTTTCAACTTTAATGATTTTAGAAAAATTTATTTTTACTTAATATCTAAAATTTGAAATTATTTAATTTAATTGTTTAAGGAACCGCTAGAAATTTGAAACTAAAATAATAAATATTGTGACTTAATTTTTGGACAGGGGGGTTAGCGTACGGAACCCCCTATTAATTTTTTTAACATTTACAATCGAGTTTATTTTAGGAAAAATTCCGTCATATGTCCCGGAAACCGATTCGGACAAATGATATGTCATTCGAAAGAGCTCAACGAGCTGAGTCGAACGACACCAAAATTAGCTGGGGGACTCACCTATGGGCCGAGATATAGGTCCCCGAAAATCGAAAAACCATAGGGGGGAGTAAGCTGAATTTTGGGTGAAAAATTCGATATTTTGAATGATAGCTCATTCGAAAGAGCTCCTCGAGCTGAGTCGAATGACACCAAAATCACCGTGATTGAACAAGATTAGACAAAGTTATGATTCAAAAAACAAAAAAACCTAAACCTATGGGGCGTCGGCGAGGCGCTTGTGCAAAACCCCGCGCTTCGCGCGGGGTTTTGCGGCACGCGCCTCGCGGGGAGTCTACGGGCGCTGGGTCTGGGCTCGTAACATAAACCTATTCCTATTTCACTTGCTCTGGACATATTTGGGGCCTCCGAAGCATCAAAAATCTCCACAGATCCAATAGGTAAGGAGCTAAAACAAATGCTCATAACTTTGTCAAATCAAGTCGGATTTCGTTGATTTTGATGTCATTCGACTCAGCTCGACGAGCTCTTTCGAATAAGCTATTATTTGCATATTCGAATTTTTTACCCCAAAAAAGTGCTTGGTCCCCCCTTTGGTTTTTCGATTTTTGAGGACCAATATCTCGGCCCATAGGTGAGTCCCCCAGCTAATTTTGGTGTCGTTCGACTCAGCTCGTTGAGCTCTTTCGAATGACATATCATTTGTCCGAATCGGTTTCCGGGACATATGACGGAATTTTACCTTATTTTATAAGTAATGTTCGCCACGGTTCGGTACTATCGGTCGGGTACACCCCGATGTACTGCGAGCCCAATGTACCGCCGAGCTATAACTTTGTTAGAAATTGTCGAATCCGTGGTGCCATGATATGGTTCGATGCGGCTCGACCAGCTGAAGCGAACCATACCAGTGCGCCACGGATCCGACAATTTCGAACAAAGTTATAGCTCGGCGGTACATTGGGCTCGCGGTACACTGGCCTGCTCCCCTATCGGTCTTATCCCGCTCTAGTATATATAATCTATTTTTCTTTGGTTTTTCTAACATTTACCATTCTAACTTATACCAATCTTACAAATATACCTGCTTGCTTAAAATTTAACTGGGTGGGATAAAATAGAGATTTAATATTAAATATGTATAAATAAAATAATTATTTTTAGAATTTTTAGTAAACAGGAAATAAAGGAGAAAACAACAACAACAAAAATAATAACAATAAAAATAAAATATGGGTTTTGTTCTAGCTAAAATATGAAGGCTAATTTTAGTATTTTATTATTATTTTTGTTTACCCAAAAAGGGGTGGCAATTTATTATTTAAAAGGACTTAAAAATATTAAAAAATAAATCGAGGGAAGAAAAATATAAAAATAAAAGTTTATTTTGGACAGTGAGGCACGGAGTGCAAAACAAATTTTTAAAAAAAATGGGAGGTCGATTAGTATGCCGAACCACATTAAAAAAAGGCGAGATTGGCACGTTCCTAGGGGTATGACCGTTTTCTTATGTTTGTTCCTACTACTAATTTAACTCTAATTAATTCTAACTCCCGATACGGTCGCACTAGTGTAGATCTAGAAAAGTGTGATCGGAAATTGAAAAAGAATACTGTAGATCTAGAGATCTAGGCCGGGCATGGTCTTCGCTACACGATGGCCGTGCTTCGCTGCGGTCGTGCTCGCTTCGCTCGCGGCGGCCGTCGTTCCGCTCGACATGCCCGGCTTCCTCCGCAGCGGCAAAAACTTTTTTCCGCGTAAATTGATGTGTTTACGCGTTTTTGCGTTAAACGCCGAAAATAGGCTGCGCCGAAAAACTTGCGCCTATTCGGCTGCGCCTATTCGTCCTGCTCCGTTTTCGTTCGCTTTGTCTTCCGTTTTAAAAATGAAGAAGACTAGTAGAGGAAATCAAATCGGGAAAAAATTAATTTTTCGATCATTACTCTACGCTGCAATGAATCAATTAAAAATATTTAATCACGAAAATTAAATTAGGAGAGGAATGAATTTTTGTGTGTAATTGAGGAAAATGATTAAAAAACCTTACAAAATTAAAAATATTTTTTCCTATAAAACTTGATGACATAAAAAAATTTTTTTCTAAAGAAAAATGACAAATAAAATATACAGTGGTGGAAAAAAGTATGGAAGCAAGAGCTTAAAAAGTAAACTTCGTTAAATTCCTCGACGTACGAACCCTAAATCATTTTTTGTCTACTATAAATTTTAAAGTCCTATCGATTACCTCTAAAATGAGTATAAATAGAAACCACTTTTATCGAGTATTTATCTTTTTATAATTGGCTAAAGTAAACAATGTAAATTTTGCGCGGAAAAAAGTATGGAAGCAAAAAAATTTTACGTTCTAAAACAAGTCGAAAAAATTTTAAAAATTTTTTATAAACATTTCCATTGATATTGAATGGAATTATAGAAAAAAAGAAGTCTGTACTTGCTTTCTTCATCGAGATCTCAAATCTCAAAAATCACTGGGAAATCGGGGTACAGTACTTTAAAAATTATTTTAGCTCCCTGAGACTTGTATAAAAAATTTCTTTTAGACCTATCTGAAAGCCCTTAAAATCTGCTACAAAATATGGTTGGTTTCATGTTTGTACAAAAATTTGTCTAGGAGATAAGGAGGGAAACATTTCATTATGAGCCGAAATCACTCAAAATACCCTATAAAATGCTTATTTTAAGTTTTAAGTATTTCGTCCCTCCTTATCTCCTAGACAAATTTTTGTACAAATATGAAACCAACCATATTTTGTAGCAGATTTTAAGGGCTTTCAGATAGGTCTAAAAGAAATTTTTTATACAAGTCTCAGGGAGCTAAAATAATTTTTAAAGTACTGTACCCCGATTTCCCAGTGATTTTTGAGATTTGAGATCTCGATGAAGAAAGCAAGTACAGACTTCTTTTTTTCTATAATTCCATTCAATATCAATGGAAATGTTTATAAAAAATTTTTAAAATTTTTTCGACTTGTTTTAGAACGTAAAATTTTTTTGCTTCCATACTTTTTTCCGCGCAAAATTTACATTGTTTACTTTAGCCAATTATAAAAAGATAAATACTCGATAAAAGTGGTTTCTATTTATACTCATTTTAGAGGTAATCGATAGGACTTTAAAATTTATAGTAGACAAAAAATGATTTAGGGTTCGTACGTCGAGGAATTTAACGAAGTTTACTTTTTAAGCTCTTGCTTCCATACTTTTTTCCACCACTGTAAAATGTGTCATTCAAAATTATTTTTTTTTTGTGAATTTCAAAATCATTTCAATCAAAAAATTTGATAAAAGTGAGGGAATAGAAAGAGCGGACTAGAGAGTTTGTGAGAATTGAGATTAATTTCTCGAGATTTTTGTCCGAGTTCCCGTTTCAGTCTCATCTTAAGTGATACCTCCATTTTAGTTAAGTCGTATTTTAGCTCCAGAGGGCATAATTTCCAAAAGGAAATTCGACTTTAACAGATACCCTATAAAGAATAAACTAACTGAGCGCAGTTGAAGATTTATTCTGAATGGATCAAGGCTAAAAAGGAGGTTACAAAATTCTCGATTTTCGGGTCAAGATGGTGTTCAGTTAGCCGAACTCATTTGACCATAGTCTTGTTATAAGTATAATAATGTCTGACTTTCCAGTCTGACTTTGCAGAGACCAACTTGGTAAAAATGATGGAAATGAATTGTGAAAGAATTTTTAATTTCAAATAGTAGAAAATAGTAGATAATAAATTATAAAAATTTAATAAAAATTCAATTAAAGGCGGAAATAAGCTTGGGTAAACGTGGAAATAACCTTGAAATTTTATTTCCGGATTTTTTTTTCAAAAAAATTTTTTTAATTTAAAAAATGAAACAGCTAGTCTAGTAATCTATTCAAAAATCCGTGGAAAACGAAAAATCCAAAAAATAATAAAAAGTAGGAAAATACAGAAGGGAGTAAGGAAAAATTTTTTTTAAAATTTAGAAAAAGCTCAAAATGGTCAGGAAAACGGAAAAATATTAAAAAATTAAAAAAATTTTTTTTTTGAAAAATCTAAAAATTTTTTATTAGAAAAATATTTAAAAGATTGTTTTGAAAACTCTAAATATGAAAAATGTGTTTTTTTGAAATTTTTTTAAAAATTTCAAAAAATGCTCAAAATGGTCAGGAAAACGGAAAAATATTAAAAAATTAAAAAATTTTTTTTTGAATAATATTAAAAAAAATTTTTTTTTTAAATATTTTAAAAATTATTTTGAAAACTTTAAATATGAAAAATGTGTTTTTTTTTAATTTTTGAAAATTTTTTTGAAAATTTTTTTATCGATTTTTTTTAATTTTTCAAAAAAAAATCTGAAAAACTAACCTACACAAATTACTAAAAATTATATTATTTTATTTAAATATGTCAAGTATATTTTACAAAGTCGGCTAGTATTTGTCAAAGTAATACATATAGCTATAATGACAAGCAATTTTTCCCCCTTGTTCAATCAGTGTGACGTGAACAAAAGAAGCAATATTTTAAATGTTTTAAAAAGAGAAAAAGACACTTTACAGCCAAAACGCATCGATCGGATACGTAAAATAAAAATTGTAGTATACATGAGAAATTCGCGAACATGAAAAAATGAATGGAGTTGTTTGAGGGAATGAATGAGAGGGAAGGAAGAGAGAATTGAGTGAGGGAAGGGGGGTGTTTGGGCGCAGAAATGATGAGATGTCTAGGCATGGGAGGTTATAAGTCTTTCCAAAGAAATCCTAAAAATGTGAAATTTTGTATATAGGTCTCTAATAGTGTTAGCTACCCCTCCAAAAAATTTCAGAATTTTCGGTTTAGTATTACAAAAGTTATGGCCAAAAAACTACAAAAATAGACATTTTCCCCTAAAATTCTGATATTTATCACCAGAAGTTCTGAAATAGTAAACCAAAAATTCTGAAATTTCTAGAGAATAAAGATAACCATATTAGGGAGGAGTATACAAAATTTCACGGCTCTATCTTCTCAAAAACATGGAAATTTAAGCGCTCGCGCCGCAACGTTACCCACGCCCGAATAACCCTAACCTCGTAAAACGCGAGGTGTATTTCAATCATATTCGCTCATTAGAGGCAGGTTTTTTGATTTTTGGTTGTCTAGCAAGTCTGCCCGACTCTAAAAGATAAGGTGAGTGATGTGACATGAGAGGAAAATTAAAAAAAATTTAAAATGATAACAGAAAATAATGAGTGGGGGGGGGGGAGGCGAGCGGTTTTTTAATTGTTTATTTATGTGAATCACTCTTTCTAAAAAATTCTAAAAATAGTAAATTTAAATTGAAAAATGTTAGTTGAGTCTTAAAAAATTAAAAAAAATTTATTTTGATCCCTCAAGTAAATTAATTTTAATTAGAGTGAGAGAAGCATCGCGCTTTATATTTAAAGTATCTTTAATCTTTATATTATCCTGATGAGTGGGATAACAGCTTCTAACATTTTGGAGGGAATGAAGGTTTTCGTTGATGTACAAATGTCTACCGGGTACACCCCACTTTGACGCAGCCCACTTTGACGCAGCCCACTTTGCCGCGCCCACTTTGACGCAGCCCACTTTGACGCACGCCCACTTTGACGCGCTCCCACTTTGACGCAGCCCACTTTGACGCACGCCCACTTTGACGCAGCTTATCTAGTATAAAAGGTCGTATGTAGCAGGTTAGAAGTAATTACTAGGGGTTAGATGACTAGAGGTTCATGATTAAAGAATATTTAAGCGATATAAGTGTATCAAGGATAAAGTCATTTGATGTAATAAGGATGAATTGAGCGATTTTAAGGCATTTTGGAGGATTAAGAGTGCTCGAGAGATAAATTGAATCTCCCAGTTTCTCAAATCACTATCTAACTTAGACCTCTTGAGCCCTTGATATTCAGAGGATTCGAAGATATATAGGAAGAACCAGAGGCATGTTGGCCAGGGGGATGTGGATCAGTTGAAGCCTAATAGAGAATGGATAAGGGGAGTAATAATGATATCGATGAAAGAAGATCTTAGGGAGTTAGGGGATGATTAATTAAATGCCGGAAAATGTGAATTTTTGTCTTAACAGGACCGAAACCGTTCGAATTAGTCCTCCTTGGCCTTCGAAAATTCTAAAATCTCGACGCGATTTGGATGGATATCGGTGGATGGTTGCAAGGGGCGCATTCATACGACAACTGGAGAAGAACACGAATTTAAAAGATTAATAAGTGAACACAGTTTATTGTATCCAATCAATGGGAGCGCGTCAAAGTGGGCGTGCGTCAAAGTGGGCTGCGTCAAAGTGGGCGCGGCAAAGTGGGCTGCGTCAAAGTGGGCTGCGTCAAAGTGGCCTGCTCCCTGTCTACCTTCCCACCACTTTCAAACAGGGCTGCACGCAATTGCGAATTGTGCGAGTTGCGGATTGCGTAGATTGCGAGGGTTTTTTGCAATTGCGAGTTGCGGATTGCGAGTTGCGGATTTTTAAAAAAAAATTGAGAGTTGCGGAATCTTTTTTGCGATTGCATGTAGCCCTGTTTTCAAACATCCCAAAATGGTCAACCACTTCTAATCATGTTATCTTTCCCTTTTCTAGGTATCCCAAGCTTCAGTTATCATACTAGTTAAGGGTCGGATTTTAGCAAATATTTGTACAAAAATTCTTGTTCCCCCCAAAATATTTTTAGTAAATATTTTAAAAATAGCAGTAAAATAGCAGCAAACAACCCTCTCGACAATAGGGCTGTACAAATTCAGTACTTCCCTTTTCCCCTTTTTAGCTGCCGAGGCTTTTTGGGGTGAAAGGGAAATGAATGGAGGGGGGGGGGGAGGATAAAAGGGGACAATTTAAATATGCATAGAATTTTTTGGAAGAATTTTTGCTAACAAAAAATTAAAAAATAGTCTTATAATTGTTTAATATACTCAAAAAAGGGTGAAAAAAATTTTTGAAAATTTTTTTTGAAATTTTTTTTAAAAATTTTCTCTTCGATTAAGGCAGTCTAGCAGGTATTTATGCAGTAACGTCCAGGCATTAATTTATGAAAAAGTCAAAAGAGGTCCTAAAATCGTCAAATTTTGCACAGATATCTCCAATAGTGTTAACTAACTCCTCTTAAAATTTCAGAATTTTTGGTGGGATATTTCAGAAGTTCTGGTATAAAAATCAGAATTTTCGAGCAAAACGTCGACATTATTGAGGTTTTTTGCTCATAAATTCTGAAATAGTCCACCGAAAATTCTGAAATTTTCAGAGATATTAGATAATACTATTGGAGACCTCTATACAAAATTTCATTAAGATAGGAAGCTTCTAAGTCAAATTATGAGCGCTCGCCTAAGCGCTAACCTTTAAAACATAAGTAACAATAAAATAGATAAATGCCAGTTTTATGCACTTATTCGACCTTAGGGAATTGGAAAAATGTCAGAACTGTTAAAGAGAACTCGTAAACATTTTTTAAGTAAAAAATAGGCTTTTTGGTGTTCTTTCGAATGATAATTTTTTTGAAAAAATTTTTTGAAAAATTTTTTAACAGAATGCCAAAAACTAAACAGAATGCCAAGGTATGAGAGAATTATTTTTAGAATACGGTCAAACCTCATTATAGGATACTCCCGAAATGGGATACACCTCGATTTTAGATACGTCCTTAATTTTAGGTTAGTCTCTGGGAGGTCACTTAATCACTCAATTTAGTCACTTTAGTACCTCAAGTTAAGCCTCTCATTTTTAGTTACAAATTTTTTTTCGAGTTCAAGAGTGGATTTAAAATCAAGCTTCAACTGACCGTATAACCCTCTATTAATTATCCTATCTCAAATAATTATTTCGCCTGATTAATTGTCATCCTCCGTTAATTACCCCCTACAGCCAAAGCCGATAGAATAAGAGCGTGGTTGTTGGTTAGAGGACCTACCAGTGATTATTTAATAATAAATATTAGATCCGGGGTAATTAATAGAGTAAATCTCAATAATTATTAATATCTCAAATAATTATTTCGTCTCATTAATTGCCTTCCTTTGTTAATTAACGAGGGAAGGCAATTAATGAGACGAAAAAACCCTAAAGCCATTGGTGAAACAATAATTACCCAATAATAAATACTAGATCCGGGGGTAATTATTAGAGTAAATAGGGTATATTAATTAAAAATTTGTAAGGAATCAGGGGTGAACGCAATAGAAAATCTCTAAAAACGTAAAACGCAACGCAAGGCTAAAAACAACGCAAATAACGCAAAACGCAATACGCCCACACCTGGTCTGACTTTTAAAAATTAATTTCAAAAATTTTTTGTTAAAATTTAATTAAAAAAAATATTTCTTCCATTGACGTGTGAATATTTTAGTATAACGTGTTAAATTTAATTAAAAATTAAATACCAAAAATTAAACAAAAAAAGAATAAAAAAAGCTATTTAATTAAAAAAGGCTTACATATAATTATTAAAAAATGAAAAAAAATTTTTTTAGCAGATGCCATGGAGACCATTTAGGTATTTAAAAGACGACTAACAGGGGAGGGAAGGTGACCATCTAAAGACGTGGAGAAAAGAAAAAAATATTTAAAAGGGTAACCATTGGAAACGGAAAATATTGGGGTCCGTAATAATTGCTAGAAGGAGGATAAATGGAGGGTGTTGGATAAATAGAGGGGACTTTGAAGATTTTTAAAAAAATTATTTTTTAAGTTCAATTAGCACAATGAAATAATTTACTAATTAAAATATCAGTTAAAAAGACTATAATTTGTCTAAATAAAATTTTATTTGATTAAGCTCTAGCTCTTCGTAAAACTGTCATTGTAAGAATGCCAAACCTTTAAAAAAAGATAATTTTATTCAGTTTAAGTTTATCTAAAACTGAGATGATAACTAAATACAGTGAGAAAGGTAAATGCCTCGGGTTGTTAAATTGTTGGTCGTGTTATCCCTAATTGTAAGGCGGCTCAAAGCGTACAAACTGAGCTACAGCTTGAGCTACCGGGGTGTTGCTTTTGCTCCTATTTTTAATAGATATTAAATCCCTAATTAATAAGCGTTTATAAGTGATAGTCAGCTGAATCCCTCTCTATTTTCTCTCAATACCCCATCCAAAATTGTGGAATTTGATAAGAAAGCAGGGAACAAAAAGACAATAGAAGGAAGGACAAAGCAAAATAATAAGGGTGATACTGAGGATTAACACAATTAGAGCGCCCTAAGACGCTCGTCCAGGCTCAATCCGGTTCTCAAAACACGAGTTAGACTACCCACAATTTAATTAAAATTTCAACTAAAATTTACGAATTAATCTGTGTAGCAACAGCATCGGTCACCACATCTTCGGGTATACTTATTTTCCTACGGAAATGTCGAACAACCACAGACGATTCGTTAATTCTAACTTCCCTTTCTGCCAAAACAACTAATTGGCCTTTGGATAAAAGCAACTTTAAATTTTTTGGGGATTTTTAAAAATATTTCTTTTAAACCTGAATATCTTCTGGTTCGAAAATTGACAGGTCGATGCTTATTTGGAACCTTTCCGGGCTAATGACTGTCTGGAAATGAAAATATAATTTTTTAAAAACGCAGGACCTCTATTTTAGATACTCTTAATATTCAACATGAATGTCTGCCCCGATAAGTTTTGTCTCCTTTTTAAGATGAGATAGAGGAGAGACTTTAAGTTACCCTCTAGAGTCCAATGCTACATATATAGGGAACCCAATCATATTTTTTTGAATTCAACATAGGTGTCTGTGCATAAAAATTTAGCCACTTTATTAAGGTAAGATAGAGGAGAGACTTGAGATTACCCTCTAACAGAGTCAAATGCTATAAAGGAAGCCCAATAATATTCCTTTGACACTTACACAGAGTATAATTAAAAGAATAGGGTTATGTTCAATGAATGATCGGCATTTGAAGACAAAATTAATCTGCAGAAATTAATCCCGCAGAAATTAATAACTAAAAAAGAGAGGAGAAAAAACTGCGTAGTACGTAAAGAACACGTTCCTTACGGACTACGAATAGTCTGTAAAGACTACCCAATTTTTTAAATATTCAAAAAAAATTTTTACGTGTACAGGCGCCTCTCTAAGCCTTTTTAGTTGTTTATCCATAAAAATAACTGGACCCATATAAAAATTTCGTTTTTCTTTTTTAATATTTTCAGTCATCAATAATTGTTCATAATTCAATAAAGGAGAATTTAATTCATTTGAAGGCATTTTTCTAAATTTCAAAAGAAAATTTGAAAGAAAAATTAATTGGAATTAAAAATGAAAAGGACCTAAGAAAAAGCGTAACTGAAATTAAAAGGGGACAAGAGGAATAATGGAAAGATGGGAGATTGGGGAAGGTAGGGTGATCAATTCTTAACTGATCTATAAATTCCTCTTTTTAAATCGTATGAAAATTTGTATCAATCTAAAGTTGTTCCCTACAGACCACCCTTAATCTGTATGGAACATAAATCTACCGACTACTGTCGGAAAAGACATTTAAAATAGGGTAGGAACCCGACCCAGAAAACACCGACCTCGAACCCCGACATGCTACCCTAGTTTAATACATCCAGAGATGGGCTGTATTACTCACAACTTAAAACCAGACGCTTTTAACCCGAAACCCAATCCGGAAATCGACTCTCGACACTTGTAGGCTGTAAGGAACATTACTTCACGGCCTATCCTTATTTCACGACCCATCCTTATTTTATGAGTTGGCCCAATAATAAACAAAAACGCAGAAAAATATAGTCAGAAACAAATAAAAATAAAAACCCATTCACATTTTCTTTCAAGATTTGAGCATTTGATTTCCCAATAAATGCTTACCAACGTTTAAAAAGAACATTTAGGGAAGGGTTTACCAAGCAAAATGAAAATCACCGCGGGAATCGGCGAGAATTTTTATTTTTAGTTTTATAGAAGGAAGGGGAGGAAGGCAATAATTGAATAAGAAAAAGTACGTTTTTTTTGTTTTGACCATTAAATAATTAAATATAATTGCTGGACAAATAAGGCGAGAGAGGGGGAGAGAGAGGGAGATTAATGGAGATAAATAAATAAATCTTTGACGGCCTTTAGAATATTTCTTGAATTTTTTTCTAACGGCTGAATGGACAAATTAAAAGTGTAAAAAGGGAGGATATTTATCAATAATTTATTTTATACTAATTTTATTTTTAATTAAATTAGCTAATTAATTAAAAATTATGTTCCTTACCGACTACATGTAGTGCGAAGGGAACATGGCTATTTAACTAATTACTTGTCTAAACAAATTAATTTGTGGCTTCCTTTGCTAGACTTTTAATTTATCCTAGAAAACGTTAACGAAACTTCATACAGAAAAAATAAAGACGAAATCGAAACGCGAAACGAAATTTCGAATAGTTCTAAAATAAATAATAGCTTGGGGAAATGCCTTGGAGGGAAGAGGGGTCGTGGAGAAAAGTTTGAAGAAATTAGAACTTTTCATAATGAAGATTAGAGGTATTAGAGGTATTAGGGATGAATATTAGGGTATTTAGAATTTCCAACAACCTTCCATTACACTTTTCCTATCGGTTCAAATAAAAATATAACTCATCATAAGACAAACAGCATAAAAATTTTTTTTTGAATCATTTAATGGAAAATAGAAATAAAATACTTAATGTATAAGGCAAAAATAAAAATTAACACATAAAATTTCAATTTATTTTCGCTTAACGATTTGTGCAACAACTCGATAGTTGAAAAAGGGTGGAACAAAAATTAACGGGCCGTTAAGAATCTTCACAAGTACAATCGTCATCGTGCACGTGATGCGGCGGTGGGCGTTTTTGCGGTCGTGGATCGTTAATCTCACCAGAACTGAAAAGAAAAAGGCCGATATTTTTAAGTCTTAAAGAGCTCTTTGCCCAACACTGTACCCCTTCAAAGCTACCTCGAATCGCCTTCCTCGGGTTGAGGGCATCCATAGAGCTTGTTGAGTTTACTAAGGTCGATAAGGCTGGGAATTCTCGCGTTGCCAATATAGGCCTCATCATATTGCCTAAGTACTCGAAAAGCAGGTTGGCCATTCTTAGATCCTGCGTGCACTTGATAATGCATAATTGAGCCATAATCATAGGGTTCCCCGTAAGTCTCCAAAGTTTCTCTACTTTGTTTAGCATATTGTGAAACGGCGTCAGACTCAAGATTATCATACAGAACTTCAATGTATTCGTCACGATCATACCTGAAACAGTAAAATTCAGGAATGAGTCGTTAGGGAGCAACCCAATACAGTCGTACCTCATAGATACACCAATATACAGTTCAGGTTAAGATACCGTCTGTCCTAGACTGCCCTCTGAAATATTACAGCCCTTTAGGGAGAGTTAAAAAATAGTACTCTGGCAGTACTATTTAATGAAATACGGTATATCGGTCATCGTGTAGGAGCTATCTAAGCTAAGCTAAGGCTTTAGGCCAAATTCTTAAAAACGGGAAGACGGAAGAAAAGGGGCGGGGCATATGGGTGGGAAACTACACAAATACCCAAAGATTTCCATTATAAGGGAGGTACTCTGTAAAAAGTAATCACCGCATCTGTTCATGAGATACTCCAAGACAGTGCATTATCTCATGGATTACAGTATTAGGTTCTTCACAATGGGTTTTAGATTCGAGGTTGATTATGTTACGTCCCGGTTTATCCACGTAACCAACAGTCGACTTGCAAGCTTTTTTTATAGATTTTATTATAACATAATTTTTGTGTCGATTTGGATTGTATTTTGGGAAAGAAATGCATGTTGCGTCTTCTAAAATGTTGACAGCTGATTGAATAGATTTTCTAGCTTTTCTTCCTAATGATGAGTGGAATTTTATAGGCACCTGGTTATTAGGCCAAATCCTTAAAATTGTATTTTTTAGTCTTTTAGTGATCCCTTCCCACTCTAATGAATGCTCAGTAATTTGTGGAAACGTATAGGTTTTAGGGCAGATTATTAAAAAATGGGAAGTTGGAAGAAAAAGAGGGCGGGGCATATGGGTGGGAAACTACACAAGTACGCAAAAATGTGTATTTTTTAGTCTTTTAGTGATTTCCTATGCTAACACATGCCCACTAGGGATCCGTCGGAGGGTTTTCACAGGATATTCTGAACATATACAAGGTCACGGAACTTGAAGCCGACGAAAATCGAAAATAGGTATCTCAAGTCAACAGGAAAAATGTCAGAGATCACGGAATTAATATCCGGGACGAATGTTGATCTAGTTATCAAAAAGTTTTACCTGCTCATATTTTTAACCACACTTTTTTGCACACCTTCCTCCTCCGAGGATTCAACTTCCACGTTTTTCTTTTCAATTATCATATCACCCACGAACTCAAAGTCATTATCAGAAAAGAGATCGGATAGAGTCAGCTCTTCTTCATAGTCAGTCGATTCATCCTCAGTTATTGCGTCCTCAGTTATCCAGCTATTTCGTTCAGACTAAATTTTGGTCTGAAGCTTGAACCAAATAAAATTTTTACCCCTGATTTTGAACGCAAAGTACCGCCTGTAACAAAATTGATGGACACTAGTAAAGCAAGAATAATAAAAATTAGCAAAGGTTGTAGCATTGTGGCGATCTAATGAAAGCCTTCCCAAAAATATATTTTTTACATTCCAAACCTAAAAAATTTTGGTTTTAGGGGTAGTTAAGAAACAAGAGACTTTTAATACATACACCGTATTTCCTTCTAATCGAATGCCCGGGCATTTTATTTTTCAATCACCTCAAAAGGCATGGAGGTCCAAAGGCATGGAGGTGATTGTCACCTCCAAAGGTATTTGAATGCACTCAATCACTCCAAGGTATTCAAATAGAGGGTGGGATTCAATTAGAGGTAATACCGTTTATTCGGATTATTACCCTCTCAAAAATGATTACAACCTTATAATTAATTACTCTCCAGCCAGAGGCTTTAAAAATAATTACCCTCCTTCAAATGCCCTAACAAACGTTCAAATTTCAAAACTCGAATAAACACCCTTCCTCGATTAATTATACCCTATAAGGACAACGGACAATCTACTTTCCAATCACCCCCAAAGAGGCCTTATATTGAGAGGTCATAGGGAAAGGTTAAGGAATTTTCGGACGATACCCAGGTTAAGTATTCATAAAAATACGGTAAAATTAAGGTAATATTTTTTTAAATTTTTAAACTTAATTTAAAAAACATCTTAGCTAAAATTCCAAAAAATATTTTCAAATAAATTTGGAGAAACTTTAAAATTTAGGCCTAAAATTTAGGCCCAAAATCAATATAAAAAATGTCATCTTTTTTAACTTAATTTCAAAGATATGATAAAAATAATAAATTGAATTAAGAAAAAACTAATGATGTATTTTAAACTAGGAGGTAGTTTAAAGGATTTTGTGGACACCTGTTTTACTTTAACTTTTTTTAAAATTTTGTTTACAACTTTTTAAATGTTTGTTTACAATTTTATTTCAATTTACATGATCATTAAGAACGTTTTGAGTGAATAAACAAATAAATTTTTGGAACAAACAATTTTTTTTTAATTTTTATATTAGTAAAAGGCAACAATGGTAATATAGATCTTGACTTTTGGTCTAGGGCAGCTGTTGTTATTTTCTTTTTTTACATTTTTTTTATATTTTTGGGTTCGTTTCGAGATGATTTTGATTAATGATAGGGCAAAAAAATTTTTTTTTGCCCTATCTAAATTTTGTTTAAATTCTAGGAAAAAATTTTAGCACAATATTTGAGGAGAACATTTAAAGACATTGGAAATTATCCTCATCATACGCAGCCCTGATTTAGTGACTCGTCGAGGAGAATCACTCCCAATTACTAGAGCTGTGCAAGACTTGGTCTTGGGCCTTAAATCAAAACTCTCTTGAGGGTTATTTGGTTTTTGAGTTCAGTCTTGGCCTCGAGCTCTAATAATTACAAATAAAATGCTTATGCTTATTGGCAAAATAAAAATAAAAAATAACAAAAATTTCAACTTTATTTGTATTTCAATTTATTTCCTCTTCCTCCTCTTCTTGATTCTGTGCAACTACTCGATAATTAAAAAGAGTTGGGATAAATTTTTCTGGGCAAGTACAATCACACGTGTTTTTACTTCCACGAGGATAGCAACTACAAGGACAATTGCATTGACAGATATGCCCTTTGCATTTACAGGTACAGCAACATTCATCGTTACACCTAGTGTTACCTTCTCCATTGTTATCATCATAGCTAGTTGGACGTATTGGTGGTGGTGGTGGAGTGTTAGGGATATCCTCACCAGACCTGGAAAAAAGCGATGAAATTTTTGAGTGAGGAAATTTTAAGGTACATCCTGTATATCAATTTGGACTGTTGGGGGTATCGCTAAGCAAGGGCAGCTTCCCCTGCCTAATATCATACTAAGTCTGATGGTTTTTGATGGTCTGGTCCTACAGCAAAAATCCCTTATCGGACTTTGGAGAACGTTAGTTCGCGAGCTGTACCCATTCAACTTTACCTCACATCGCCAATGTCGGTTTGAGAGCATCCGTATAGCTTGTTAAGCTTACGCAGATCTATAAGGCTGGGGAATCTCGCATTACCAATAGCGTTCTCATCATACTGCCGAAGTACTCGAAAACCAGGTAACCCATTCTTCGTTCCTGCGCGCACTTGATAATGCATAATTGAGCCATAATCATAGGGTTCTCCATAAGTCTCCAAAGTCGCTTTGCTTTGTTTTTGATACTGTGAAACAACGTTAGGCATCAGATTATCAAACAGAACTTCAATGTATTCATCACGATCATACCTAAATCGGTAAAATTTAGTCGTGACGTTGTTAAGGAGCAACCCTGTACAGCTTTACAGCCGATAAACATCTACAATTCTATGTATCTAAGATATATCGGTCATCGTGCCGGAGCTATCTAAGCGACACATATTTAAAGTACACCTCATTAAGGGGTATGAGAAGAAAAATTCTCAGCCCTAAGGGATAGAGGAGGTCCTTCTGTATTAGGTAACCGTTTCGGTAGAGATATACCTATTCTGTTCATGATATACTCCAAGACTGTGCATTATTTCATGTATGGCAGCAGGTGAAGATTCACATAAGGCAACACCAGATGCTAAGTTAATTTGGTTATGCTCCTGCGTATCTTTGAAGCCTACAAACGTCCAGCAACCGTTTTCGCTAGATTTTATTGTCATATAATTTTTGTGGAGATTTGGATCGTATTTTGGGAAAGAAATGCATGTTGCGTCTGCTAAAATGTTGATAGCTGTTTGGACAGCTTTTCTAGCTCTTCTTCCAACTGATGAGTGAAAATGTATAGGCATCTGCTTATTAGGCCAAATCCTTAACAAAATTGTGTAGTTTTCTAGTATTTTAGAAATCTTCTTCGCTAACAAATGTTCATTAGGGTTCCGTTGGATGTTGTCCATTGGGTAAGAAACTGTGTTAGACTACTGTGAGAGAGAGAGACCTACTGTGTTCAGTAGAGTAGGGTCTTTGGTAGGTTTGGCAGATCATGGAAACCTTTGGACATCTGAAACTGGACCCGATTCTGACCTTAAGGGGGACAAGGGGACAAAAGTCCTCTTAAGGAGGACAAAAATCCCCCATAAGTCCCCACTTTTGTCCCCCATATTATTTGTCCCCCATAATTAAGATGTCTCCCATGTCCCATATTTTGTCTTCCCATATTCAAGATATAAAAATGCTAATTTAATTATCGAAAATTTTACATGCTTTTATCTTTAATCACGCTTTTTTGCACGCCTTCCTCCTCCGAGTCTTCATCTTCTATGTTTTTCTTTTCGAAAACCATGTCACCTACGAAAACAAAATCATCGGTAGAGATTGTAGAGGGAGTCATCTCTTCGTCGGATTCAGTCGATTCACTCTCAGTTATCCAGCTATATTGTTCAGACTAAACTATGGGAAAATTTAGACTACACTAAGAAAAATAATTACGCCCCTAGTAATTTCTTACCCCTCGTTTTGGACGCAAAACGCTACTACCGCTTGTAACAAAGTTGAGAAACACAGGTAATACAAAAATAATAGAAATTTTTAGAAGTTGTGGCATTGTGGCGATTCAATGAAAGCCTTCCCAGAATATATTTTTTACATTCCAAACCTAAAAAAATGTAGGGTTTAGGGGTAGTTAAGAAACAAGGTACATTTAATACATATACCGTAGTTTCTTCTAACGGAATGACCGGGCATTCTATTTTTCAATCACCTTCAAAAGAGGCATTTTATTAAAGGGGGCATTCAAATGGAGTGGGGGCACTCAATTAGGTATTAGTTATACCTATTATTACCTTCATACATCCTTTCAACTTATTAATCTCTCAATTAAGTGCCTCATACTTTGCCCCTTACTCTTCCCTTTCCCAAATGCCACTTATTGTAGGTTGAAATTTCAAAATTCGAATAAATTACCGCACTTGATTAATTACCATCTCTAGTGAGAGTTTAACACAATTATTACCCATGGTAATAATACGGTAACCGAGTATCCCAGCTAGAATCCAAAAAAATTTAAATAAATTGAGAAATGTTTAAAAATAAAACCTTTATAATTTAAGAATAAAATCGAGATAAAAAATGACAGCTTTTTCAAACCAAGTTCAAAGATATGACAAAAATTAAATTAAGAAAAAACGGATGCTTTGTGTGTTAAACAAGTTTAAGGGATTTTGTGGACACCTGTTTTACTTTTTTTTAAAATTATGTTTACGATTTTTAAAAATTTTGTTTACGTTTTTTTGAATGTGGCAACCTTTTTAAAGGAAGTTTTGGGTGAAACAAACAAACAAATTTTTAGAAACAAACAATCTTTTTCTTATAAAAATTCTATATTAGTACATATGTAAATCCCAGTCAAATCTCATTTAGAGTGATAAACATAAATGACATCAAAATGTAGTTCATTGGACGTATAAAAGGTTGTTCGAACGTGTAAAGGTGCTATTGGACGCATAAACTGGACAAGAGCCCTGAGTACTAGAGATCGGCCTGGGTCTGGACCAAGGCCTGGGTTTTTCCTGTACCCAGAGTCCAGGCCCAGGCAATTTTTGACCTTCATGGGTTTTTCCTGTACTACAGGCCCAGGATCCGGCCCAGGTCAATAAATCAAACCTGGAACCCAGGAACAGGCCCAGGCTTTTCAAAATTTCCGATCTCTACTGCATACTCGACCGTCGGCCCAACTCGAAGACGGCAACCCTAATTACTAGCAAATAAAAAACAAAAGGAAAATACCCAAAAATAAAAAAAAATTTTTTTTTTACTTCAGTAACATTGAAATAAAGAAATAAAATAATGCGTAGCTTTCTTGGATTTTTTGGGGGTTTCAAACAAATTGTGAAATGTTTTGAGGTTACCGTATTTTTTCGATTAATTCCCCTCCTCGAATAACTCTCTCCCTCTCGATTAATTCCCCATGCTAAAGTTTGGTTGAAACAATAATTCCCCACCCTCAAATACCCTACTGCACGTTCAAGTGCCAAAACTCGAATAATTCCCCTCCTCTCGATTAATTCCCCATGCCAAGGAAGGGCTGAAAAAATAATTGCCCAGGGGATTAATCGAGAAAATACGGTATGTGGAATTTAAATAATATGAAATTTTGTTTTACATAATATGGGAAGGATTAAAGAAATTTTTTTTTAAATTTTCCTTGACTCTTTTTTACATCTCGTTTCTTCTTCTTCTTCTTTAACATACATACTTTCAATTTTTACCATGTCCATTATCAAGACGCTTTTTGGAAATTTTATCAAGGTTATCTCTCTCTTTAATATCTCCAAGATCAACAACATGGTCTCTTTCCATCTCTTCAGGGGATAATTCTTTTTTATACAAATCAGAGAATTCAGGAAGTAGATCTTGAATAAAAAGACTGAGTAAAAGTTACAGTAATTTATTTTAAGTTTAAAAAATTATCTCAATCTTACGTCTGCCACTACACAGTAAGAGCCAGGTAAACGTTTAATCCCGGGCAGGCATCGGTCCTACGACCTCATGGCAGTTATTGCTAGGCGCTACGACCTCTTGGCAGTACGACCTCCTCCTGGCGACTACTCCTGGCAGTACGACCTACTCCTGGCAGTACGACCTCCCTACGACCTCCTGGCAGTTATTCCCAGGCGCTACGACCTCCTGGCAGTTATTGCTAGGCGCTTTCGCTCACCACGTACAGGTGCTCTACCAACTGAGCTACCGGGATGCTCTTTTCATCTTCTCTTTTAACAGATCTTAAACCCTCGCCTATTGAGCGTTTTAAATGCTAGCCAGCTGGATCTTTCTCTTCCTTACAATACATACCAGACCCTTTGGATTTCTATTTTTCAAGTTTAACATCCTCTAATCCTGCCAAATCAATTGGCACAAAACATTTTACTCACCACTATTGTGCTCGTTGAAATTAAACATTCCATTTTCACCATGGTTTTTGCCATTTCTAAACAAATCCTGATTACCGCGCTTTACTTGAGTATGAAGAACGGGCTGGTTTGGCTTATTTACAGTCAAACCAATGCCAGACTTGTTGAAATTTTGGTTTCTTGGCAAAGAAACCTGGTTACCATGAGAACTTCCCAATTGTCTTTTCGGCGGTTTAATTGGGTTTAAGGGAGCCACATGCAAATTGCTGACAACTGCATGTGTAGCACCACAATTTTCAAAAAAGGAGCACAACAGAATAAGGAACGGAATCATCGAGTAAAACATTGATGCCGCTTTAAGCATCTAAAAAGAATATCTTTATAACTTGCTCTTACTATAATTAAGGACTGCCTCTTCGCAACACCTTCCTAATGGAGTTTTAAAGGCCAAAATTTAGTGGGCGTCCTTTCTAAGAGATGGACGCGCGAAGAGGCAGGACGCACGTAAGACGCTTCGCGTTAAAGTCTCTGTAAAGCCAAAAAATTTAAAAATGCCTGACATGCATCAGGCGCTTAAGTCAGACGCTTAAGTCAGGCAATTAATCAGGCACTTAAGTCAGGCGAGTAAGCGCTTAAGTCAGACGATTAAATCAGGCGCTTTAAGCGTCTGACTCGCATCAGGCGCTTAAGTCAGGCGAAGTAAGTCAGGCGAAGCAAGTCAGACGCTCTAAGCGCCTGACTTGCATCAGGCGCTTAAGTCAGGCATTTAAACACATGTCTGTTTATCCAATAAATCAAGCGCTTTTGAATGCCAAACATTCATGTTAGTTGTCTGAAATTTTTTTCAAGTTTTATTGTTAATTTTTAAATCTCATTCCTGCCATCTTTTACCTCTCTAGATTCTTAATCTTGTCTAATAATCATCAAAACAAGGGAATTAAAGCCAATCTCGATTTATTTTTTTAATTTGTATGCGGAGCTATATCAATCAAAAAATCTTATATTTATCACTAGGGATTCTAAACATGCTTTTTGCTACATATTTGACACATTATTTAAGCGCAAGTAGTATAGTAATGTTCGGGTATCCCGATCCCGACTCCCGATTCCCGGGTCTAATAATAAATTTGAATTAAAAGATTTTTTCAATACATTTTTTTAAAAATTTATTTTCAACTCCAATTTAAAAAATACATAGTATAAGGGCACATGGAATACAAAATTTCAATAAAAATAAAATTTTTAGAGTATTGAAATAAATATATAGGTATATTAAAGATTATGAACGAAAATCGTAATAAAAAATTAAATAGTCGAAGTCATATTTGAAACAAGACATGAGGCTTTAGGATAAAAATATAGTGAAGTGAAATAGTTAAGAAATTATGGAAAGCAATATACCGTATTTTCTGTAGTAAAGCCCCGGTCTGTATTAGAATAGCCCTCCTTTGTGGGATGGTTGAAAAATAGAGCCCATGGGGTTTTATTATAGAAAATACGGTAATATATAAAGGAGAGTTCGACACCGGGCCAAGACCTTGTTTTCAGGCTCGGTAGCCCTAGAACTGGGTAATATGATGAAATTAGGCTTTTATGGGATTCAAGGTCTTCGGCAGTGTAAGAGTAGGAAGGGTGGCCTGGAAACCTCAGCCCGGGTCAGTTGAATAAACCACAAGGATATAGGGCCCGGAACCTTGAAAATACCGAACTCTAGTATAAAAATAAAAAAATCATATTTTTTAATAAAAGACAACAATAACCCTTTCCAATCACAACTAAAACCAGTTACAAGACTTGTGAGCATTCATAAATTTTGATTTTTTTGCCCAACTTTGCTGCATAAAGTTTAAAGTTTCAATATTATCGCTTTCTGAATCCCTCCAATGGGTTGCTAAGATAGTTGTCATTCCCCAACATTCATAAAAAATTTTTTGAAAATGTAGTCATTGTTAAAATCTTCATGAGAAATTGTAATTTTGATGCAATTATCATCCACAATTTAATCCAATTTGGGAAGTTTTCTTCCGCATGATGTTTAACTACATATTTAATTAAGGTTAATAAATAATAAATCGGGCTTTACAAAATGAATTTTTTATTTTTAAAAATATTTTTTTGAAGAATAAATAATTCCTAGAAATTATTCCAAAAAAAAGTTATTTCAAAAAAATGAAGTTAAAATTAAAAAAAATTTTTTTCTTAAAAATATTTCCTTTTGGAAAATTTTTTTAAAATTCTTCCTTCGAAAATTTTTTAAATTTTTTGTAGGCAAAATATTTTAGTAAATATTGCATTATTTGCAAATTTAAGCGATGGAATTAAGATTATTTTGGATAAATTAAATTTTATTTGATTAATTTAGTAGTGATGGTCAGAGAGCCGGGAGTCGAGACAGAGAGCTCAAAAACCCAAGAAAATTCACGACTCAGAACCGAGACCGAGAGTCTCGAGCATCTCTAATATTTAGTGCCTATATCTTAAGAATTTTGCCTATTTCATAGTAAAACACAAAAAACCTACAGTTTTGGTCACATATCGGATAGTCACTTATAAAAATGACTTCAATACCATTCCAATCACTAACCAGATACAACACTTCGGCCTTTTCTGCCGGGAATGGTTGTTCTTTAATAAGAAAATAAAAGATTAAATGAGTTTTTTGAATTAAAAATTATTCAAAAAATTTTCTAGAAGCTACATATCTATTGTAAATGCTTAAATTAATACTCCCTCTCTCAAATAATTACCCCCTAGTATTTTAAGCAAACTTTAAAAATAGTTAAAAATTATGATCAAATTTAATTATTGAAACATTCTAAGACTTAATATCAAAAAATAAATCAATTTCGCCTCAAATAGATTGAGATAAGTGTATCCTAAATCCAGCACATCCTCCTTTATAATTACCCCACCAGCGAGAAATTGAAACAATAATTACCCATGGTAAATTGTTTCAGCATTTACGATAATTTAATTTGACTAAAAATTTGTAAGACTAAGAAAGATGTATTGGCTTTTCGATTTTCCAAAAATACAAAAAAATATGACAAAAAATACAAGTACCCATTTCCCCTTAATTAATCCCCCTTTAGAAGTTTATCGAAAAATTGAATGCCCAAGCATTCAAATAGAGGAAGTACGGTATTTTATAAATTTATCTTACTTCTTATCAGCACATAAAGGCATTATCAACTGTTTTTTCCAGTTCTAATCGGAGCTCTCTTTTCATTCACAAATGAATTAAATAGATAATAATCATTGTTTTCAATTAAAGTTTTGTTGTCCTTAAGTAATGAAAATTTGCTGCTTTTTCCTTCATAACCCGTCCACACGGGTTATTTCAACGTTGTTTCGTCTTCGTTAATTTTCCCCAAGTTGTGCAGACTTTGGTTGGTTTGCCTTACAAAGCAGTCTTTGTTTTTAAAATCCTTTGGTCTTGAAGATTTTTCAGGCACTGATTTGAGAGGTGTCATTGGTGTTTTGGACTAAAATATTTATAATCCTTTTAGATAAAAATTTGTTCATTCCCCGGCTGCTTAAATTTTTGGATATTCAAAAGAATTTTTGAGAGATTAACCAGGGCTGCAAAGATGGTTGGCAGATCCGGATCTGAAAAAGGCCGGATATCCTAAATTTTCGGATCGGATATCTGAAGATTTCCAACTATGCGTCAACCTTAATGTGCAGCCTTGATAAGCGTGAATAAAAAGTTAAATGGATAGACCTCACTAGAAGTCCATACACCCAAGAATATTATATGAGCAGTCATTCCAGTTACTCGCATTGGCCAATAAAAATAAATCTTACACAAATCAAGGGGTGATAAAAACCCTTGAGGTCGCCGTCTTCATTTATTAATACAGGGAAATCATTCCAAGGGAGATAAATAGGAAAACTAAGATTTAATAATTTGCTGAATATGAAAAATTCAGTAGTTAACTAGTCGTATATATACCACCTAAAAATTGGATGCTTAATCATTGCTTAAACAAATTATTTTTAAAATTTTCCCAAACACTTTTTTTATTTTTTAATCAAATTTGTACAGCGCTATGGAAAATTAAACCAAAAAAATTATAAAATTATTAATGTAAGTATGGGAATGATTTTTATATACTGCCTAAAACCCATGCATTTTGATGATAATTAACAGTAAATTAACAGAAATAAAAATAATCATAATTAAATTAAGCAAATAATTATTCATAAAAGCGATGTAGCTGCTGAATAAAATTTATAGCAAAAAAGTAAAGTTATGTTAATTAATTTGGCCGGAAATTGAAAAAAAAATAAAAAAATATTATTAACCCTAACATTTTCATAAAAAAATTTTTTTTAAGCAAAAAATTGAATTTTTATTTTCCCAGAAATTTTACTTTTTTAAATTTATATATGGAAATAAAAAAAATTGTGTGAATCATAAATATTTGTACAATTTAAAATTTTATAAAATAATAATATATAATTTCTGTTAAATTTAAAATAATTTTTTCTGATAATCTGATTTTTATTTCAAAGTTCTCATGGTCTAAGAGATTCTGATGGCATTATAATTAGAGTTGCCATTTCCGAGTTGATCCGCAATCCGACGGCCATTTTTTGGGATTTCATTTTTATCGAGTCAGGCCTGTACGAGTCACTTTCAGGCCTCATATCGTAGAACCGACTCGATCTTTCGGTCTGAGTGGGTCAATTCTGGCAAACTTAATTACCGTATTTCCTGAAATAGTACTCCCCCTTGAATTAGTACTCCACCCTCAAAAAATACCCCCCTTTGGGGGGTATTTTTTGAGGGGGACCCCCGGGAGTACTATTACCCCCGGGAGTACTATTTACCCCCGGGAGTACTATTATAGGAAATACGGTATAATGTTCTGATTTTATCAATTCAAAATTCTGATTTAATTTTTAAATTGTTAAATTTAAAAATATATTAAAATCATTTCCGGTCTCTATTGCGTATAACAACATTTTAAATTCTTTTTTCTTCTTAAAAAATTTTTTTAATCTTTATTTTTTAAGCTTAATCTTATTTTCCTTAAGTTTTAATAATTTTATAGACAGACATTTTTAATATTTTAATCCCCCAAATTCCTCTAAATTTCCCCTCATTTTATTGGCCATTAAAATGCTTTTTTAAAAGGAACTTAAAAAATATTTCTTTTTTTCCTTCCAGCTTAATGTCCTTTTTTCCCAAAAAATTATTATTTTTTAAATTAAAAGCCATTTTATCCCACGCATTTTTCTTTCCAATTCTTTCCAAATTTGTTTTTAAAAACACCCTTCCACCTCCCTTTCATTTGTTTTTTTTCTGTCCAAATCTGAGGGGAAATGTTTTATTACAAATCTTAGTTTTCCCTTAGTTTTGGCCTATAATAAAAAAAACATTTTATGAAAAGTTTATAAATTGAAAAACGGATATTATTTAAATTTGCAATTCAAATTTTTATTGTTAGTTTTGACTTTTTTATTTACTTGGAGTCAGAAACGAATCCTAAATCTTTATTTGGAGACCCTTTCTCTGCTAGCAAAAAACATCAAAATTCCTCTTTTAATGATCAATCATATTTTGCCAACATATTAAACAACGCTATTCTTGATGCTGACGAAATTAAATCTAAATCTAAAAGAGTGGTTATTGAACGTGCTCCAGACAACACAGACATCATTAATATAGCTAAAAAAATTGCAGCTGATTGTGGAGTGGCAGAAGATTTGTTGGAAAACGAAATTCATCGTCATCCACGTGAGTCTAAAGATGTTATAAATAAAAAACCAAGAATCGTTAAAATTCCATTCACCAACAAAAAATCTAGGGATAACTTTTTATACAATTTTCGTAAATGTCTTAAGAAAAATCCAGCTTTTCCGCAGTTCATAACTGCAAGACGTGATATGACTCGTAATGAACTAAATATATTGTATAACTTGCGAAAGCAAGCATTTTCTATGAATCAGGCCGAGAACATGTTTAAGTACATAGTTGTCGACCTGTCAATAATTACACTCAAAAATCCACAACCGCTCAGGGCAACCAAAAATAAATAGGGACACGCAGGCAAACCGCAGACAAAAGTAAATAACGGAAATTTTCAATCATATAAATGTTTGTTATTTAATTCTAGATCCCTAGCTAATAAAATACCGGATTTAAATCAATTAATCGAAAATTCTAATCCACAAATTATATTAATCAATGAAACATGGCTCACAACAGAAAATACAATAAACTCCGAACTATCACATAGGGGCAATTATGAGATTATATTAGCTAATAGAATAGGAAAAAGAGGTGGAGGATCGGCAATTTTATTAAAAAATGACATACCATTTAAAATAATTTTTAATGGCTCTAAATTCCAATCAGAGATAATACATATAAAATTATTTCTCAAAAAAGAAATTAACATTATAAACATTTACCGCCCACCAAATAGTTCAATTATTAATACAAAAAAATTATTTAAGTTTCTTTTAAATCTAACTGATCAAAAAACAATATTATGCGGAGATTTTAATATTAGACACATAAATTGGGATTCTAAAGAATTAACCGACAACTATGACAAGATCGCGAATATGTTTTTAGAGTTTATAGGTCAAAATCAATTAAATCAACTTGTTACTGAACCTACTAGAGAAAATTCAATCCTGGACCTGGTACTCACACCTGCTTCCAATTTAGTCAGAAATGTTTATGTTAGGGAGAATTTTTCAACTTCCGATCACAAAATGATAGAGTTTGAGTTATATGATCAGATCAAAGTCTTTAGAAAACCAAAAATTTATGTCAGAGATATAAGTAAATCCAATTTTAATAAATTGAATCAAGTTATTTTTAAGAATAATTTAGATCTAGGTATATTAACTAAGTTCACTGTAGAAGATAAATATGATTTTCTGACGAAAGAATTGTTATATCTTTATAACAAATATATACCAATGAGAACTTTGAATAAGATAATAAGGAAAACATACCCTAAACGGATTAAGGAATTACACAAAGAAAAACTTAGATTGTTCAGAGTCCTTAAAGAAAGAAAACATGATCACGAGTTGAAACTTGAGTATAAAATCGTTTCAAGAAACTTGAAAAAACAATTAAAAATTCACCATAATACTAAGGAAGAAAAAATAATAAATAAAGGTGGAAATTCGATACATAAGTTTATTAGAAACAGACTTACCCAAGATAATAACATACCCTGTTTAATTGATAAAGAAAATAAATTTTACTTTAGTAATGAAGAAAAATGTAATGTTTTAGGAAAAGAATTTCAAAAAAACTTCCAAAATAAAAATATTAATCTATCGAATTATAACAGAAATATAATTCCGAAAACAAAATTTTTAGACATAGATTTAAGTACTAGCACTGTGTGGGATGTCCTCAGATCACTTCCTAATCGTAATTCAACTTCTCCAGATAACATTCCTTATATATTATTAAAATATTGCGCTGACACACTTACAAAGCTAATCACAGATATCTTTAGATGTATTATTGATAATGGGCAAATTCCATCAATTTGGAAATCATCATTTATTATTCCATTGTATAAAAAGGGAGAAAAATCAGATCCAAAAAATTATCGTCCAATATCGCTAACATGCACCTTATGTAGGGTTCTTGAAAGAATTATTGCACAGCAATTAACAAAATTCTTAGAAGATAATAAGTTCTTTAATAAAAATCAATTTGGATTTCTTAAATCAAGATCCACAACCACACAGTTATTATCTACCATGGATGATTTCTATAATGCAATACAAGATGGATATAGCATAGATATTATTTATATAGACTTTGCTAAGGCATTTGACACTGTACCAATAAATATTCTTTTAGATAAATTAGAAAAGGCAGGCATAAGTGGAAAAGTTTATACTTTTCTTAAAAACTTCATATCGGATAGGAATTTCAAGATTAAGATAGGTGACCAATTATCCCAAAACTATGAAACATTATCGGGTGTACCTCAAGGAAGTGTCTTAGGGCCACTTTTATTCCTTATTTTTATAAATGATCTTCCTAATGAAATCCCTGAAAATGTTGGAGTAAAACTATATGCAGACGATGTAAAATTATATATAGCTCATAAAAACGGCATAGAAAGAGATCAACTTAATAAAGCTTTATTTAAACTTGAAAAATGGACAGAAGATAATGGTTTAGAAATATCCCCAAATAAATGCTATGTTTTATATTTAGGTAAAAATAACATGAAAAAAGAGTATAGCATTCATGGATTAAAAGTACAAGAAACAGAATGTATTCGTGATCTTGGAGTATTAATTGATTCAAAAATATCATTTAATAACCATATAAATATGATTATAAAAAACGCATATCTAAAGAGCTTCCAAATAATAAGAATAATTAAATCTAGAGATTTAAATCTCCTCGTTAATATATATAAAACATATATAAGATCCCAACTAGAATATGCAACTGAAGTATGGAATCCACAAATGAAATATCAAATAGATAAAATCGAAAAAATCCAAAAACTATTCACTAAAAATATTTACAAAAAATGCGGCTTAGTTAAGGTCCCATATGAAGAAAGATTAATTACCTGTAAACTCGAAAAGTTAATAGATAGAAGAAAGGTTGCCGATCTATCCACCGCCTTTAAAATTATAAAAGGCTTTACATCTCTTAATTCCCAAAAATATTTTAATTTATCAAATAGATCTCTTCGCAGGCCTCTACTTCTTAGGACAAAAAAATATATAAATAGAACAAAAAATAATTTTTTTCACAGAGTAGTAAATAACTGGAATAATCTTCCAAATGAGTCATTTAAATTAACTGATCCGAAAAAATTTAGAAGTTTTATTAAACAGTATTTTAATGATAAAGTAAAATACTAAAGACATAAAACCCTAGCGTGTGTGTTTTTTAGAGTGTTTTTTTACTATTTTCTTATACATATTTTTTTAATTTTTTTTTAAATTTATTCATGTTTTTGTTTGCTGTTTTTTCACATATTTTTTCAATTTGTATATTTTTTTATGCACCACTTTAATGTATTTTAAAATACCTGTGGTTTGCTGATAAATAAATAAATAAAGTTAAAAAAAAAAAAAAAAAATAATGAATTAATATTTATCAAGTACACGTTTATTAAGCCTTAGAGCCTTCCTAGACCTAAAATTTTCCAAGATACTCCTACCATCTTTTACTTTTCTAAATTATTTCACCGATCTCTATGTATTTTTAAAAACTCAAAAAAGTCGAGACCAAGACCGAAAAAAAAACGCAAGAAAAGTCTTGAGTCCTGACTTATGATCAGGAGTCTTGGAAGGCTCTATTAAGCTTCTATATCCTGCTTAGAAAAATTTTTTCTCAAGTGTTTTTGGTATCGTTTAATAGAGAATTAAATTATCTATAAAATAGAGTAATTTTAAAAAATTTTCCGAGGGAAATAAAATTTTTCTGGCCGAGAAACCCCAAAATTTTTAAAAATATTTGTAAGAGTTGCGGTCAGTTTTTTGCCATTGGGCTTCTATAACTTGCTAAGAAAAATTTTTCCAAGGTGTTTTTGGTATGATTTAATAGAGAATTAAACTGACTACAAACCAGTGGAAAACAAAAATTTTTCTGTGATAAACAAAAAATTTTTTCTGGGCGAGAAACCCCAAAATTTTAAAAATATTTTTGAGAGGTCCAGTCAGTTCTTTGCCCATAACTTTTTTGTTTTCAATTTAAACTTTTTTTGTTTACATTTATTTTTGTTGCAAATTGTCTCCTCTATCCAACAATATAAGCTTTAGCCTAAAAGGTTCACGCTTTGTTAGGTTATAAGGGCATAAATCAGGCTTGGTTCTACACTACAATTGTCTGCATTTATTTCAGCTTGAATAATTTAATAAATGCTAAAATTATTATTTTTTATTTTTATAAAAGAATTAAATTTGTTTTTAAAATATTTTTGTTGGGTTATAAGGATAAAATATTTTTGTTGGGTTAAAGAAATAGAAATAATTTCAAAATGAAAAATTTATGATTTGATAAATTTCCAAAATTATAATGTATAACTCAGTTTTTAACTTTAATTTGTTTTATTTTTTAATATATTTTGATTTTTCTTCCATCTTATAGCAAATTTAATCAGCTATCGAATGATACCAAATTTAAGTTAATCGGTTAATATATTCTTGAGATATAGGGCATTGACTCAAAAGAGATCATTATTGTGATATCAATTAGCGTCCGACACAGTGCCGGGACCAAGACTGGGGTTTCCGTAGACGGGGGGGGGGGTTTCCTGGCACAGGCCAGCTCTCCCGGGGCTGTAGGCTGGAACCGGTATTTTGATAAAATCCTGTTTAAGGGATTCCTAGGCTCTTAGTTTTAAAGAAAAATCCGGATACCGAGCTTGGCTCTATCTCTTTATTTTTAATATTAATTTCGAGGTTAATTCTTACATTAATTTAACCAAGAAAATAAAAAATAAATTCTGAAATAATTAAATTATCACCTTTCAAGCCTACACACCCTAACAACCAAAAAATAAAATAATTTAATTTACTAGAATAAATTGGCTCCAATTGTCTCCCCAAACATAAAATATTTTTTATTAAATATTTATTATTTTTTATAATTTGCCAAATTGGTTTTTAACGCAAATAAAATAAAAAGGGCAAATTTTGACACAACAAACAAACAATTTTACTTAAATTGTCAAATTAAATTTTATTTGAAAAGGTTAAACTTTTAAAAATGTAAGAATGTTCTAAAACAAATTAAATTTTATTTTTTTATTTTTTTGATCTTTGCTTACTTTTGTAAGCTTATTTTATTTTTTAAAAGCCAGAGACAGATTTATTTTTATTATTTTAATAGTGTTCCTTACCGACCACAAGTAGTCGGTTAGGAACATGTTCATAGAATTCTAGTGGTTGGCGGAAGGGAACATGTTCCTTTCCGACTACAATGGTCTGTAGGGAACATGTTCCTTTCAGACAACCAGTTGGCTGTAGGGAACATGTTTCTTTCCGACTACTAGTGGTCTGTAGGGAACATGTTTCTTTCCGACTACCTATGGTCTGTAGGGAACATGTTCCTTTCCGACTACTAGTGGTCTGTAGGGAACATGTTCCTTTCCGACTACAGTGGTCTGTAGGGAACATGTTCCTTTCCGACAACCAGTTGGCTGTAGGGAACATGTTCCTTTCCGACAACCAGTTGGCTGTAGGGAACATGTTTCTTTCCGACTACTAGTGGTCTGTAGGGAATATATTCCTTTCCGACTACCAGTGGTCTGTAGGGAATATGTTCCTTTCCGACTACTAGTGGTCTGTAGGGAACATGTTCCTTAAAGACTACAAGCTCTATAAAGACTACAAGAACATGTCTGTAGGGAACACGTTCTCTACAGACTACTAATGGTCGGCACATTGCTATGATAATTAATTGTTGTAAAGTTATGTGCCTTACGCACTACAAGTAGTCTGTAAGGAACATAGCTTTAAGTCCAGATATTTTTCGAAAATTTTATATACGTAAGTATTATTATTTTAAAAATACAATATCCCAAATTTTTCATTTTTTAATAATTTTTCTCTTTAAAAATACCACAAACCTCATTAATGTTCCTTACCAACCACAGGTAGTCTGTAAGGAACACATGTTATAAAACTTGAAAGGATTTAATTTAAGAGCCAATTTTTTAAAAATAAAATACGCTATTCTCTTAATCCTGTAATTCCTCAATTTATTTTTTATTCAAAAAATCCCTTTAATATATGTAGGCAACAAAAATTGTTAATTAAGGGCTTATTAAAGCATGCATTTATTAAACAAAAAATTTTTTTTTAATTTTTTTAAAAAGAGAAAAGGGATACAAAAAATTTTTTTCTTCTGTTTCTCCATTTAGTTTTCTCATTTTATTCATTTTTTATTTTAAAAATGTGTTTAATGAGACCAAAAATTATTTAAAACAAGCTGTTTTTATTTATGGGATATTTTGTCACTTGAGAGAGAAAATAGGGAAGGAATTAGTTTTTTGTTCGAGAATTATTCTTTCTTTATTTTTTGCTGTTTCCCCGGAAACTAGAAAAACATAAAAAAATAACAAAAGCAAGTTAATTATGATGTTATTATTTTTTATTTGAATATTTATGCTCTTTGATTCTATCAGCTAGTTAACTAAGGTTCTAGCCTTATAACTTTTGAACTAGACGGCCGATTTGGATGTTCTTGGTACTATTCGATAGAGAATTTAATTCTCTACCAAACTTTAAAAAATCAGAATTTTTGGGTTTTCTATAGGAAAGTTCTGGTTGAGAATGTATATTAGACTTCCTGTTTGAGTTAACTAGTAGACTGGGTTTTAGCCTTATAACTTTTGAAATAGATGACCAATTTAGTTGTTCTTGGTATCATTCGATAGAGAATTCAATTCTCTAGAAAATTTCCAAAAATCAGAATTTTTGGGGTTTTGCTAAGAAAGTTCTGGTCGAAAAAGTAACTGAACACAGTAAAATGTCAAGTCAACACGGCGACTGTGGTTTTAGCCTTATAACTTTTGAACTAGTCGATCATTTCAGGAATTCTTAGTACCATTCGATAGAGAATTTAATTCTCTACAAAACCTGAAAAAATCAGAATTTCTGGTTTTCTTTTAAAAAATTTCTGGTCAAAAAACTAACACAAAATAGTCAAAAACGCTTATATTTTGTAGTTTTTCGCTTATAACTTTTTAAATCTTTTTCTAAAAATTTTGATTTCTAAGTATCTAGTAGCTACTTCAATTCTCTATCAAATGATACCAAAAATAGCCACAACGGTTTGACCTTTCTCGAGATATAAAATATAATTCTGTCCATGTCTCTAGCAACAAATGCCACTACTAATTTGTACCGGAAATGATTTAAACACAAAAAGGGAACGCAAAAAAATTTCTTTATAAGAAAGGAAACCTTAAAAGAACCCAACAAAGCTTAAAAATCTTTAAAAAGTCATTTGGGAAAAAACTTAGAATAAAAAGTCATTTTTCGTTTATTTCTGGGTGGCATTTTGTTAAATACTTTACTAGTTTTGAATATTTTTTTATTTTCCGCTAAATTTTTTTTCTTTTAAAATTTTAAACTTTTGTTTACGACCCACATTTTTTCTTTTTCAATTTCCTTCCCTTCTCTTTAAAATTTAAATTTCACCTTTTCCACCCAACAATGTTCCCTACCGACTACTCATGGTCTGTAAGGAACATCGATAGTTAGAAAATATGTAAATTATTATTTATTATTATTTTTTTCTTGAAAAATTAATTATTTATTCACTGTTTTTGTGTATTCTAAATCGTAAAACAATTTTTCGAATATTTTATCTAAAATTTTTCTTCCTTATTTTTGCTCAGTATTTGCGTCATTCAAAAACCATCGCGAGTTTTAAATTAAAAAATATTCTTTGAGGGGTTCTAAATCATAAAATAATTCAAAATTTGGCAAAAAAAAACACAAAGCTTAAAAATTTTTTTAAAGTCATTTTTGAAAAAAATTTCAAAATTTGGCAAAGAAAAAATTTTTTAAAAAATTCCATGACATGTCTCCTCTATTTTTCAATTATCTTTTCTGTCGCAAAACGCAAAACGATTTTAGTGTAAGCGTTATATTAACTCCGAGATTCTTTCAGAAACATTTAAACAGTGTCTACTTTATTTAAATTAATCATTAAATATTTTATTTTAATTTTTTAAAATTATTTTTAACAGAATCGGATTACAAAATTAATAAAAATAATTAAAGTGTGGGTGTTATTGTGCGAATAAAAATTTTTTTTTCTAAAAATTCTAAAAAAATCCTGTGTTACAAAATTTCTCTTAAAAATCTCTATTCGTTCTCTCATTTAATCCTTTAATTATTTTTTAATTTATTTTTGGCATTCCGATAATTTAAAACAAAAAACCCCTTTTGAATGGTTGCTTTACAGGAACTCTGCCTTTATTTATTAAAAATTATTTTTAATTTTTAATTTTATTGAAAGCCCCCTAATTTCTTTCTTTATTATTCCAAAAATAGATTATTAAATAAATTAATTTTTAACTACAAAATATAAATTAAATAATATATATTATGTAGAATAAAAAAATTTTCCACTCCCCCAAGGCTGCTTCTAGCGAAAATTTTTTTTGAGAAATGTTGACAGCCCTGAGATTTTTTCTCTTATATTTTTAATACCTGAAGGAAAAACCTAGATCTAAACAAAGAACTGGGTATTATAAGCCTATTTAGGTTATTTGGCTTGGACACAGTAACCAACTGTTCTAACAGAATACCTCTCAGAAGTCATTCCCGGGTCGTGCATCCGTTATAAGAACTGGAAACTCAGCTTGGCTAGATTTTGAAACATTAGGAACCAGAACTGCCGAATATCTTAATTTTTGGAAAATCTTGGGGCGTTCAATATTCGAAAGGTTTTATTGAACGAAGTCAATCGGGTACGTCCAAGGTAGGATACATCCAACGAGGCCAGGACACCCTAGTATAGCTCGATGCACCCTAGACCAGTTGCATCGAACCATACCAAGGCTTCTCGGATTCGATAATTCTGAACGAGTTAGGGTTGTACCTTGGCCTCGAGGGACCTTGGCCTGCTCCCAAGTCAACTATATGAAAGAGCCATGAAAATTTTTTTTTTGGATTTTTTTGGTAAATTAATATTTTTTTCAATTTTTAAAAATCCCTTTAAAATGTTTCTTCATTATTTAATACATCAAAATATTTTTTTTCCAAAATTTATTTTGCTAATTATTCCAACAAGCGACACAATTCATCCCAAAATTTACATAAAAAAATTTTTTTCCTCATAAAAACAAAAATTAATTTAATGTTAGTGTACTTTAAAAAATAAATCCTCAAAAGATTTATTTCTTTATAATGCCATTCTAAACACACCTTTCTTCCCCTTACGTAGAAGCACGTTATTCATAATATTTTTTATTCCTTTTAAGCTTAATGGCTTTTTTCAGACATTTTATTTAAATAAAATAAACATTTTTCTAGACAGATTTAATTATTTTTTTATTTCCAAATACTTTTCGACTTTCTTATAATCCATACCAAGGGGATAACTTATACCAAAGGGATAATCCATCCAAGGGGAGTCGGAAGATGGAATAGAACAAATTAAAATAAAAAGCGGCAGACGAGCCGGGAAGCGGAAGGGCCGAAAAAGGCGGAATTCGCATCGCTGTTATACCCTCTATCAGAAAATAATATCAAAATTTTCAGTTCCAGTTCCGGAACTGAAACCATGGAACCAGTAAAGACCTGGAAATGTTCTGGAACTGGAACCGTAGAACAACCAAAATTAAAAAATCGGTTCCAGAACTGGAACTGGAACGGGCAAAATTTTGAAATTTTTGCATCACTGGACAGGAGATGTAATAAAACCAACATAGAATCTGGAAAAATACATATTAATAAAAATATTTTAATAATCGAGATTTCGTCTTGGTTCGATCTCTAATTTTAATTCATAAAAAAATTTTTTTAATTTTATTTTTTAGTTTAAATTCTCTCCATTCATTTTAAATTAACCTCTAAATATTTTCTAAAAATAAAAAAAAATTCTTTTCAATTTTCAAAACACCAATTTCCTCTAAAAATGTATTTAAAAGAACAACAAATATATTTAAATATTCAATTATTATTTTTTATTTTGGCTGTCACTAGTTTTTTGACAACTAAGGGAAGTGAAGTAAAACAACGAGAAAATAATAAATTGGAATATGATAAAAATGAAATTGAAAGGCAAAAAGGTGAAGAATAAATATTTGGATAGAATATATTTGAATATAGAAACGATTAATTAGAGGGGACAAATAGTCTCCTACAGTAGGGAAAGACTTTTAGTCGAGTAAGGGGATTTTCGAGTTCTTATCGAAGGACTTTATCTTGAGGTCTTGTCTTCCTTGTTGTGGAGTTTTGTAGACCAAATTAGCGAGATCAAACTCGTGTAGACCGAGAAGTCTATTTTAGCAGCACTCATTATGTGTACCCCACCAGGGTTGTCCGCAATTGCAGACTGGGGATTCTAAAAAATGGTACTATGCGTTTATCGGCCTGCATGTCCGCAAATGTTTGTCCGCTAGTGATACCCAAGTAAGGTGAAATCACTTTAGTGTACTTTTTTATGTGGTTAGCCACTCTTGTCAATGAGGCTTCACGGTACCCCTTATTTCAATGTAGTAATCTCATTATATTGTAGCTGAAAAGTCAGTGAGGGTATATTAACTTACCTAGTTATCCACCTATTTACTACCTCCATAATTTTAAATCTTGATTAAATTTTAATAAAAATTTTTTTGCATTTAAAGAGCAATTAATTCGAGATTTGATTGCCTTAACACGTGAAAGACAATATTCACGTGACTGGCAACAATTACAGCAACAACAAAATTTTCTTAAAAGTTTTGGCCCTTCCCCACATTTATTCCCCTCTTCAGGCTTTGAATGGCCCCAACAACAACAAAAAATATTTTTGGAAGAAGGGGAAGTAGAAGAACCGGAAAATGAGAAGGAAAAAAGAGCACAAACCTTTGTTCGATTCGGAAAGAGAGCACAAACATTTGTTCGGTTTGGGAAAAGGGGACAGACTTTTGTTCGATTTGGGAGAGGTGAAAATTTAAATTTGAATTTAAAATTAGGGGCTGGACACAGACGGTTAGCCGAATCGAAAACGGAACCGAAAATCGGGGCTGAAAACCTGTGGTAATCAAAACCCCTGGAATCATGACCTGGCAATCAGATTTGTTTTAAGCTAGGCTTTAAGCTAGCTTAAAGCCTCAATATCCACCGATGATAATGGAAAAACGGAGGTACTGGTCAATAACCGGTTCTGCCCTTATTGGAATAAGAAAATTGTTTGAAGACAAGATAACCCTTGAACTTAAAAAATCATATACTAAATATCGTAGGTTCTTCTTCCGCCCTCCGTAGTAAACTGCATTTTTAACCCTTTCACTCCCCATTCGTTAAGACGTTAATTAAAATGTGGCAGTGCCCTGATATAAATACTGGATATCGGTATTTTACTACTAGATACCGGTATTTTCAAAAATTCTGGACTCTGGTCCAGCAAAAACTCCAGACTGGATCCGGATCTAGCCGATCTCTAGTGTGTACAATATAACAGGGTACGGCCCACTTAGTCGCGCGGCCACTTAGTCGCCGAGCCATAACTTGCTTTAAGATTTCCGAATCTTTCCAAATTTGGTATTAAACGATTCCTCTCATTGTGCTAAAGAGATTGTTACCAAAATTGATAAGGGCCAGAAATTTTTTAGCAAGTTATGGCTCTGCGACTAAGTGGCCGCGCGACTAAGTGGGCGTGTCCCAATATAACACGACTTACTATAAAATTAAAAGATTCATTTATTCCAGATTCAAAACATCAACAAAATTTGTCAGATCAGAAGCAGTTAACAAAAGACAAACAATAAAAAATATGGCAAATCATGAAGAATAAAAATTTTATTTTAATTTTTTAATGATCTTTTAATTAAAATTTTTTGATCTCTTGGGGAATATGTATTAATTGATTTGTAAAATATTACATAAATAAATTTTCTTTTTTTAGTGAAAATAGTACCTGAAAAATTTTAAAAATAAATTTAAAAATGATTTGTATAGCTCAAATTTGTATTTACTAAATAAATATCACTAGGTCTAAGAACTTCATAATTGGCCAATTTTTGAAGTAATTATGATCATTAATATGTCTGCAATCATTAGTTTATAGTCCATAACATTGCTTTAATCGCCTTAAGATTAATGGCCCAGCAAAAACAAAATAAGCAAAATCAATATTTATCTACTTAGCCCATCGTCGGCTCATTTTCCCTCTCATTACTTTCTCAAGGCCAAATCAAAAACTCTTACTTTTGGTCAATGGTCACTTAAATATACTAGAACACAATAAACTAGTATTATTAAAGCTTTGCCCCTCTCCATTTTAGATAAACCCTTTTTTCCTAAATAAATATTAATAAGAGAATCATTGATAACCCTTACAGTTTTTGAGGACATTTCTATTTGAATAAGTTTCTTTTTTGTCCTTATTTTGTCCATGGTACTGGACATGAATCACTAGCCGTTTTTCTAATTTAAGTTTGAGTTTTGTCATTATATTTTTCGCAAATTTGGGTTAATTTAATAAAGCAAACCCCTCTCTTCAATATTAAAGCATGCCTTTGAATAATTTAAATTTAAACGTTCAAAACTAGTTTTTAGAATGAATGAATCATCAAAAACAAAATTAATATGTCACTTTAAATTTTTTTTAGTAAAAATAATTTTTTAAATAAATTTTTGATGTAGGAAATGACTGTTTAATAAATAGCTAAAAGGATGACTGTCTTAAATATTTTAACTATTTTTTTAAAATTTTTTTCAAAAATTTTTTTTCAAAAAGTTTATTTTAAAGTTGGGCAACAAAAAATTATTAAATTTTGCAAATTTTCCGTCAAAAAAAATTTTTTTTAATTAAATCAGAATTTAATTTTTAATTAATTTTCCCTATCTCCTCTCCTCCTTATTTAAGTAAAAGCGAGGTATACCGTATTTCTTCAAATAGAGCCCCACCATCAATTAGAGCCCCACCCTCTAATACAGCCCCACCTTGGAGGATAGTTGAAAAATAGAGCCCCATGGGGCTGTATTAGAGAAAATAGGGTAGTTTAACCCCGGGCAGACTTCGATCCTGCGACCTCCTGGCAGTTATTGCTAGGCGTTTTCGCTCACCACGTACAGGTGCTCTACCAACTAAGCTACCGGGATGCAGCTTCCACCTTCTCTTTTAATTAGGGTTTGACCCCGAACGTTCGGGGGCGGGTAGGTCGGGGTACGGGGTCGAGGTCAAACCCTACTTTTAATAGATACCCCCGACTAGTGAGCGTTTTAAAGCTGGATCTTTCTCTTCCTTTTAATTAAATCAGAATTTAATTTTTAATTTATTTTCCCTCTCCCCTCCCTTATTTGACCATTAATTTAATTAAATTAATCCCTTCCCTAATATAACTAGTTTTTTTCCTTTGGCAAGAGATAAAGGGCCTGATTAACTCAGAGCTGGTAATCTTTGTTAAACCCGTTTTTGACTTAAGAAAAATTAATTTTTGATTATTTTGTAAATAAAGGGAAGGAATTAATTAAATATTAACTAATTTCTACTTAAAAATAATTTAATTAAGCAGAAATATTTTTTCAGAATTTTTAATTCTGATTTTATTAAAAAATAATTGAGTGTAGCATTATAATTCTGATAATAAAAATAATAAAATCAGAATTTTAAATTTATTAATTATTAACAGAAATTTAATATCAGAATTTTTAATTCTGGTTTAATTAAAAAATAATTGAGTGCAGCATTATAATTCTGGTAATAAAAATAATAAAATCAGAATTTTAAAATCAGAATTTTAATTTATTAATTATTGACAGAAATTTTAATTCAGAAATTTTAATTCAGAATTTTTAATTCTGATTTTATCTGTTTAATTCTGATTTAATTAAACTTAATTAAAATTAATACACAAATCAGAATTAAAATTTTGATTTTTATTTGTTTAATTCTGACATTCTGATTAATTTAAATAAATCAGAATTTCTTATTTATCTTCAGAATAAATTATTTTTAATTAATTCTGATTTATCAGAATTTTAAATTCTGTTTTTATTAAAAACAAAAGGATGAATAAACATCAGAATTCTGGTAGTAATTAAACCAGAATTTTAAATTGAGAAATAAAATCAGAATTTTTTTAATTGTAGAATTTTTAAATCAGAATTTTAAAATCAAATTTTAAAATCAGAAATTTTTAAATTCATCAGAACACAATGAACTTTTAAATTCTGATTTTCTTAATAAAAACAGAATTTATTAAAATAAAAATTCTGATAAAATAGCAGAAATAAGATAAATTCTGATTTAATAAAATTAATCAGAACATAATAATGAAGAAATTAAAATAGGAAATTAAAATTCTGATTTTTTATTTTTTAATTCTGATTAAAATTATTATTTTCTCCACAAATGCATTTTCGATTTTTCCATTTTAATATGGATTTAACCTAAATAAAAATTATTTTAATCCATTTAAAATTTTTTTTCTCTTTCAAGTTTTATTTTTAAAAATAAATATTTATTATTAAATGTTTATTAAATATTTTGTTGTCTTTATTCTTTTAAATTGGAATATTTTGGGTTCTAGGGCAGATTGGTGGGATGATGTAGTTGATGGGGTACATGGAAAATTGACTCAGGTATTTTACTCAGAATTGTAAGTTCTGAAATGAGGAAATTAAAAAGGATTTTTTAAAGGCAGCAGATTGGATCAAAGACAAAGCCGGCCCTACAATCAGAGAAAAATTTGATGAAACAAAGAAAACACTTCAGGACCCCAAAACTCATGAAAAGGTGCAAGATTGGGTGGAGGATGAAGCAGTTCCAGTAGTCAAGGAAAAATTTGAGCAATTTAAGGTGGTGGAAAGTTAAACACTTATTTGTTAGGATTTGATAAGAAATAAGAAATCGAGTGAAATTTTCCAAATTTTTTTACATATATCATCGTTGGAGATGATTTCTAACTGACAAATGAGCGTTATTCCAACCAGTGGTCGATCAGAATTCCGATTTTCGAGTTCCGAAAATTTAGGCTGATTTCCGAGTTCCGACAGTTCCGATTTTCGGCACCGCCGTCATTTTTAATCGAGCTCTTATTCCATTAAGATATCAATAATTTTAAAATATTTAATATTTTCAAACCCAAAAGGTGTTTTATCCCCAGAAATCCATTGAAAAATAGACGCCTAGGGCTTCTATTAGAATTTACGGTATATAAATTAATGTTGATTATATTCAGAATTTTGTTAATGATGATGTTATGCCTGAAGTACAAAAAGTGGTAGAAGCGGGTGCAGAAGCTAATAAAAGAAGAAACTCTCGAGTGGAGGATGATGACTAAAAAATTAAAGATGTATATTGAGTCAAAAACATCTTAATTTATTAAATATAATCAGCATCCGTACTAATCAATTTATTCCATTTGTGTTAAATAATATATACTATAGTCCAATTTTATTTTCAGATTTATTAAAATCTAAAATACATACTGATAAAGCTTTATTTTGGCTTGAATAATAATTTCTCCATAGTTCCCAAAATATCAACCTTATGATAAAAATTTCCGTTCTTGTGTTTTTTTGCATCCTTGGAATGGTATCACGACTTTTGCGCCGAGAACATTTGCGCCGCGACTTTTGCGCCGCGACTTATGCGCCGGGCGACATTTGCGCCGCGACTTTTGCGCCGCGACTTGTGCGCCGGGCGACTTTTGCGCCGCGACTTTTGCGCCGGGCGACTTATGCGCCGCGACATTTGCGCCGCGATAATTTTTAAAAAATAATATCCACATTCGGACCTAATTATGGTGTACTCCTTAAAAAATGGTATCGAGGAGCTTCAGGAATTTCAGGAAGTACAATGTTTCGGGAAGTATAATAGCCCCCTCTAATAAACCGACCCCCTAGAAGGAGTCATCTTCAAAGAACTTGACTTTTTCAAATCAGGATATTTGGTCTGCTACCCTTATTCAGGCATAATTTTCTGCCAGAAGAGGGTGCACTATAGTGTAAGGTTGTCGAGTCCAGATATCCGGATCTGAAAAAGGCCGGATAGCCGAAAAGTTTAGGTAAAATATCGGATCCGGATCTTGATATCCGAAGATCTCAAACTATCCTACATCTTCTATAGTGAGGTCCGGCTGTAGTTTTTCATAATTATTAATGATAGTGGCGGCGCAAAAGTCGTCCGGCGCAAAAGTCGCGGCGCAAACGTCGCCCGGCGCAAAAGTCGCGGCGCAAAAGTCCCCCGGCGCAAAAGTCGCTCGGCGCATAAGTCGCGGCGCAAAAGTCGCGGCGCATAAGTCGCGGCGCAAATGTTCTCGGCGCAAAAGTCACGGAACCCTTGGAATCAAGCCGAGGTCCTGTGTAGACAGTCAATAGAATAAATACCCCTTTTACACCCTTTTTTATTGTAAAAAACGGTGTAAAAGTTGTATATTCTTTTAAGGAAAAATTGTAAAATATAAAATTTTGTTTAAAAGACCCCCTTTTAGACTTTTTTAGTTAATATGTGTAAAAATAATACATAATTGAATATTTTATCAAAATTACACTTGTAGCTTTTGCAAGAGGTTGTAAAAGTAAAAAAATTAAAGTAAAAATAAATTTACTTTATAATTAAAGTAAAAGAATGATATTAATTTCAAAATTTTTTAGGCCGAAAATAATAATACATATGTATGTATATAAAAACTAGAGACCGGACTCGAGTGATCGATCGATAATATCGGTATCGGTCTCGAAAAATATCGAGTATCGAAAAATATAGGTTTTTGTTGTGTAGTGGTGACACTACTATAAAAGCCACTGTAAGCGTCAGTATAATTGGATCATACTAGCCAACTGAGCCACCAATGAACCCAAACTGACTGACATCGTTTGTTCACTTCTAGAGTTGTTTATATATTTGTAGTCAAATGGGGCGTTACAATGGTTAATGGGAAGGTGGGATAAATACAACTAAATAAAAAGGTGAACAATCTGGGAAAGCACGTGAAGAGCTGTTGAATAACTAGTGGGAAGGGATGAGAAAGATTAAATGTGAATGAATAATATATTGTGAAGGAAGTATGTGGAAATAATAAAGTGATTGGTAATTGGGGGTTAGGGGGTTTGGAAGTGGATGGCACTCAAGTGTCTTACATCTCCCTGCCCACATAAGCTGGTCCCTCAGCTTACTTGTTTTCTCCGCGATTTAAAAATAGTCAGGGGTAGTGGATTTCTGAAATTTTTAAATTTCTGAAATTGGAATCATTGTTTTTGAAATTCAATTTTGAAAATTTTTAATTTTAGTCTTTTTAGAACGGTTGGGGTGTGAATCTGAAATTTTTTTAAAATTTCTGATATAGGAAAATTTTTGGTGGGAATTCAAATTTCGAATTTTGTATTGTCTATTTGATTGAGGTGGCGTTTTAAGGTGATTTTTAAATATTTTCTCCTTGGAATGGTTAATGAGTGGGAGGTACTTTAATCCATTTTTGTTCCTCCTCACTCCATTGCCAATAGCTATTATTAAAGTATTGAATGTTTAAATTATTGCGTGGTACAATAAAAAAGAGGATGATGGTAGTGGATAAGTTGGTTGTGGAGAGTTTGAGGGCTTTGGAGAAGGTACATATGATTTTTGAATGTTTGAACGTGACATTACATTCTGTGAGGGTAATGTAAGGTACATGTTTGTTTTGATTAATGAATATTTATTTATAGGTTTGAGTTATATGGGGTATTCTTAAAATTATAATCAGTATTGGTATAATTTTCAGAAAAATATGCGGGTAATCGATTAATTTTGGCGTTACATTTAATTAAATTGAGAGGGGCAATGAAGGAATATGGAAGGTATTGTTGTTTGCGTTGTTGTTGACGGGTAGTGATTGTTGGAATTTGTTGATGTTGCTGTTGATTTGAATTTTCCGTTTCTAAAATGTGAACTTTGATTAACTCTATATGTATATTTTAAAGCCTGATTAAAAACGATTCCCAAGGGAGCATTTTAAAAGTGTGTTAAAGTCTTCTATTATGCAAAAAGCTTGTCGGGCTCTGGAAATTGATACTGCTACTCTTTGTGAATCATTTATAATTCCAATGATTTTTTCATTTTCTAGAAATAATTCATTCTAGAATAATTCCTTCTAGAAATAATTCATTCTTAGATTTGATATTAATTACAAACCTGAATTTAGTATCTAACGTTTTAGTTGAAGGAGGAATCTTTTCTTCAGACCATGAAACATTATTATTTGATATTAATTGTCCAATAATTAAAAAAAATGAGAATAGAATAAAAAAAAGATTTTATAATAAGAATAAAATAATCAATTTAAACCCATATTTGTCCCTATTATTAAAAAATACTATTTATACTGGGTTTCTAATTGGGGACAAATATAATATAATTGCTAAGTCAATATTAAATTCATTTGACATTTTCATCCCTGAACAAATTATAACTAAAAAAGATCGAAGAATAAAATATCCCGCTCACTTAAAAGCTTCTATAACTGAGAAAAAGAGATTATACAGGTTACAAAAAATTAATAAGGAATATAAATCAAAATATGACAGTATATCTCTATATATTAGAATTGCTATAAAAAATTTTATTAGTAAACAACAAAACAAAATCATTTCAAATAATCCACTTAATGTTTATAAATATGTTAACAAAGTTTATAAAAACAATAGAGATATACCAGTTATATTATATGAGGATAAGGTCTATATAAAGAATTCTGAAAAAGCAGAACTTTTTGCAGAAATTTTTCACAAAAATTTTAACAATTTTAACTCTAATGTTTCTCGCAATGATGTTTTTGCTAGCGATAATTCAGATACTACTGATGTATTGAATGATATTGATGTTACAAGTATTGAAGTTTATGAAATCCTAAAAGCCCTACCATCAAAAAACAGCGCTAGCCCGGATGGCATAAATTATCTTATGTTAAAAAATATAAGCATAATATTGGCACCTTATTTATCTGAATTATTTAGAGTTTCATTGGATGAAGGCATTATACCTGACATATGGAAAAAATCATTAGTTATTCCCATTTTCAAAAAAGGCGAAAAATCTCCAATTTCACTTACTTGCTGTAGTTGCAGAATCATGGAAAAAATACTTGTAAAAAATATAATAAATTTCTTAGAGAATAAAAAGTTCTTTAGTTCGGATCAATTTGGATTTATTCGAAGAAGATCCACTACTCTTCAGCTAGTAAGTAGCTTGGAGGATTGGTACGAAGCCTTATTTGAAAAAAAGAATATAGATTGTATTTATATTGATTTTTGTAAAGCTTTCGATAGTGTTCCTCACAGACTCCTTCTTGACAAATTATATGCTTGTGGAATTAGGGGAAAACTACATAGGTGGATTAGTGAATTTTTATCAGATAGAACATATCAAGTAAAAATTAATGATGTTTTATCAAACCCATATGGAATTACCACGGGTGTTCCCCAAGGATCCATTATTGGCCCACTGATGTTTCTAATCTATATAAATGACTTATCCGACATTATTCCAAACGGAGTCAAAATTAAACTATTTGCTGATGACGTTAAAATCTATAAAGTTTATAAGACTAAAAATGAAAGATTAGAATTAGCAGTTGCCCTTAAAAACGTCGAGGAATGGTCAAAAAAATGGAATTTAGATATATCAGTTAATAAGACATTCGTACTTCATTTAGGTAAAAATAACCCAAGGGATCAATATAAGATTTTTAATAATACTATAAATGAAGTTCAATCTATTCGCGACCTTGGAATAATCATAGACGACAAGCTTAGGTTTAAAGAACACATTAATATAATTATTCGCAACGCCTATCTAAGGATGAAAACAATTTTTAGAATAATAAAGTCAAGAAAAACATCAACTTGGATACTGATATTCAAGAGTTATATTAGGCCTATGCTTGAATACGCACCGGAATCTTGGAACACTTTACAAAACAGAAATTAATTCTCTTGAAAAATGCCAAAAAATTTTTACTAAAAAAGTTTTTAAAAAATGTAATTTACCCGAACTACCCTATGAGAATAGGTTGGAATATCTAAACCTTCAAACACTTGAGAATAGACGTAAAATTTTTGATTTAATGCTTATGTATAAAATAGTTAATGGTTATTCTCACCTGGGACTTGAAACACTCTTTTCTCATCCTATTAAGAAATCTAGCCATTCTTCTCATAGAATTATTTCAAAAAAACAAAATTCTAAAAGTTCTAGATCATTTATAAATAGAACAACTAAAATGTGGAATATACTAGGTAAAAATACTATTTTAAGTAAATCACCCTTAGATTTTAAAAATAAGCTTAAGTCAATACTTATTGTATAAATAAACTGAATGTTCTTAAAAAA